GGGGGGAGGGTCGGGAGGGTCAGAGGGAGAAGCAGACTCCCTGCCGAGCAGGGAGCCCGATGCGGGACTCGATCCAGGGACTCCAGGATCATGACCGGAGCCGAAGGCAGTCGCTTAACCAACTGAGCCACCCAGGCGCCCTGTCTCAAGGAATTTTTTGATCTCTCTTTTGATTTCTTCTTTGATCCATTGGTTGTTTAGTAGCATGTTGTTTAATCTTCACATATTGGTGAATTTTCCAGTTTTCTTCCCGTAATTGATTTCTAGTTTTATATCACTGTGGTCAGAAAAGATGTTTGATAGGATTTCAGTCTCCTTAAATTTACTGAAACTTGTCTTGTGGCCTAATATATGATCTATCCTGGAGAGTGCTTCATGTACAGTTGAGAATATGTATTGTTGATTTTTGATGGAGTGTTTTGTATATATGTCTGTTAAGTCCATCTGGTCTAATAAATTGCTTAAGGCTGATGTTTCCTCATTGATTTTCTGTGTGGATGATCTAGCCATTGATGTAAGTGGGGTATAAAGTCCCCTGCTACTGTATTGCTGTCTATTAGGTCTGCTACTATTTGTTTCATATATTTAGGTGCTCCTATATTGGGTTCATAAATATTTACAAATGTTATATCCTCTTGTTGGACTGACCCCTTTATTATTATATAATGCCCTTCTTTGTCTCTTATATAGTCTTTGTTTAAAGTCTATTTTGTCTGATATAAATATAGCTATCCCATCTTTGTTTTGGTTTCTGTTTGCTTGGTATACCTTTTTCCATTCCTTCACTTTCAGTCTGTGTGGATCTTTGTCTAAAGTGAGTCTCTGGTTGACAGCATACACACGGGTCTTGTTTTCTTATCCACTCAGCTACTCCATGTAGCTGGTTTTGATTGGAGAATTTAATTCACTTAAAGCAACTGTTGGTAGGTGTATACTTACTGTCATTTAAAAAAATGCTTTTTGGTTGTTTTATAGTTCCTCTTTACTCCTTTCTTCTTCTCTTGCTCTCTTCCTTTGTGATTTGATGACTTCCTTTAGTGGTCATAGATTCTTTTCTCTTTATCTTTTGTGTATTAACTGCAGGTTTTGCTTTATTGTTACCATGAAGTTTACATATAACTACTTATAACTATTTTAACTTAATAACGGCTTAAGTTTGCATTCTAAAGCTCTACATTTTGACTCCCACTTCCTACATTTTATGTTTTTGATGTCACATTTCATCTTGTGTATTCTTAATTATTGTAGTTACTTTTTACTACTTTTGTTTTTTACCCTTCTACCAGCTTTATAAGTGATTAATCCACCACATTTACTATTTACCATTACCAGTATGATTTATACTTTTGTCTGTTTTCTTCTTACTAATTAGCACCTCCCCCCCCCACCCTTTTTTTTAGCTTAAAATAGTCCCTTTGACATTTCTTGTAAGGCTGGTTTAGTGGTGATGAACTCCTTTAGCTTTTGATTATCTGGGAACTCTCTCTCTCCTTCAATTCTGAATGATGAGGCTTATGGGGTTTCCCTTGCAAATACCTGTTTTCTTTTCTCTTGTTGCTTTTATTTTTTTTCACGTTTTTACTTAAATTCTAGTTAGTTCACATATATGGTAAAATTGGTTTCAAGTGTAGAATTTAGTGATTCATCACTTATATATAACACCCAGTGCTCATCATGAGTGCCCTCCTTAATACCCATTACCCATTTGGCCCATAAATTCTCATTACTTTTTAACTGTTATGGGTCTTGTTGTAGATATCCTTGGGTTCATCTTTTTAGGGCTCTTTATGCTTCTTGGACCTGGATGTCTGTTTCCTTCCTCAGATTAAGGAAGTTTTCAAGTAAGTGTTCTCCCCTTTTCTCTCTTCTTCTGGGATCCCTATAATGTGCATGTTATTATCCTTGATGATGTCACAGAGCTCCCTTTAACCTACTCTTATTTTTGCTGTTCAGGATGGCCACTTTCCATTACCCTGTCTTCCAGATTGCTATTCTGTTCTTTTACATCCTCTAATCTCCTATTGATTCCCTCTAGTGTATTCTTTGTTACTGAATTCTTTTGGTCCAACTGGTTCTTTTTATATTTTCTATCTCTTTGTTGAAGTTCTGAGTTCATCCACTCTTTTCTCAAGTGCAGAGAGTACCTTTATGACCATTACCTTGAATCCTTTATCAGTCATATTGCTTATGTCCATTCATTTAGCTCTTTTATTGTGACTTTATCTTGTTCTTTTATTTGGGACTTTTCCCTCTGGCTCCTCATTTTGTCAAACTGTGTTTGTTTCTATGTATTAGGTAGGTCAGCTGCATTTCCTGGTCTTGAAAATAGTGGCCTTATATAAAAGAGGTCCTGTGGTGTGCTATCGTGCAATCCCTCCCCCCCTCCCCCCGAACCAGGTGCTCCAGGAGTGTCCCCTGTGTGGGCTGCATGTGCCCCCCTATTGTGGCTGAGCTGAGTGCCTTCAGCACAACCAGATGCAATGACCCACTTTGCCTGCTGTGGGTGCACTGGGCAGGGTTTTCTCCCTGTGCTGTTGAGAGGCCTGTCAGCAGCTGCTGTGAATTCACTAATGGGTGGGACCAGCAGTCAGGCTAGCTGCCTGCAATGAGCCTTTCTTCCACAACTGCAGGCCCACCGAAGGGCAGGCTTGTTCCCTGGGCAGCCAGCTAAGAAGCCCAGCTGTAGGAACTGCAGGCACAGTGGTGTGTGGGGTTATGTCCTCACCTCCCCAGGGCAGGAGTCACTTTGGAGTACTGTTGTTCTGGCCAGGGCTGCCTGCCAGGTGTGGTAGGGTAGGAGCCGCTCTGGAGGGATGCTTGCTGAGATGGGTGGGTGGGCTGGTTGTGGGGAGGGGGGTCTGCAGGAGAATGCCAGGGCAGAGCATGGAAGGTAGATGGAGAGTGTTAGCACTGGCTCCCACAAGCCTTGGCTAGCTAGGCTGGGAAAAAGAAGAGAGAGGGTGCCCACCAGCACTGGTGTGGGGTGTAAACTCTTCACTCCTCAGAGAGGAGCTCTGGGTTTTGAGTTCCTTCCTAATTGGGGGCTCACTGTGCCAGGGGGTGGGATTTATGGCAAGACTGTGTCCCAGCCTCTCCTACCCACTTCGATTTTTTTTCCTTGTTTGCCTAATGTGTCGGAGTTGCTTATTGAGGTTTTAAAGGTTTTTTCAGAGCAATTGTTCCATATGTAGCTGTAGACTTGGTGTGTCCGTGGGACATGCCATTTTGAATCGGGAGCTGTAATTTCTTGTTTAGGTATTTGCAGTTGCCCCCTGCAACTGATCAGGCTGAGAGTTCCTTATGGGTCTCAAGACCCCTAGCACGTGGGACCAGTGCCTGGTATTCAGTAAATGTCTGTTGAATGGAGGTATGGATAATTTGTGCCCCAGCTACTAGCAACAATAGTTTGAGCAAAATGTAGTTGAGGTTTTTTTATTTGCCGCCACCATTTTATAAAGGTTTTATGAGATATAATTCACATGTAAAATTCACCCACCTAAAGTATACAATTCAGTGGCTTTCCGTATATTCACAAATTTGTACAATTTAGAAGTATCTAATTTTAGAACATTTCATCACCTCCAGAAGAAATCCATACTTATTAGGATTCACTCCACATTTCCTCCTCCTCCTCCCACCATAAATGTTTAAATCTAGTTCTGATGAAGAAAACAAAGATGCCCCATTCTGAAAAGGGTCATGTGTTAAGTGAAGCTTTAGATTAGGATCTTTTGAAGTAAAAAGTAGATATATCCCAAAGCCTCTTTGGCTTCTAAGCTTTTCAGGGGTATAGACTATCTCCCTCCATTATCTAGCATAGCACCTGGCCCATACTAGATGCTCAATAAATACCTGTGGAATTGAATGATTGGCCACCTAAATTGTCTATATGGAACTCTATAAAAAAGACATAACACTGGTACTGAATTTATTAACTGACAATATTACAAGATAATGACCAAAACAGTTAGTCTAATATTTACTTCCTATACCTTAGGCACATTCATTAACTTACTTATTTAAGCTCTCAGGAGGATACTGTTACTATTTCCTATGAAGAGGATACTGTTCCCTGAGGTTAACAACCTCCCCCCGCAATAAGTGGCAGAACCAAGACTAGAACCCAATTGCAGAGCCTGCATTCAGAGCCCTTATGCTCCTCACATCTCACACTTTAACAGGATATAAGCTCTGCAGCCCACCCTTAGATCTCCTCTCCTGCTTACCTGTCTCTCTGTCCTTTTCGCAAATGAAGTTATTGATGTCTTCACACTGGAAGTCATTCCACTGTCCAGCATAAATCAGCCCGGCACAGTCTTCTCCTGGCCCGTGGCCATGACCCCAGTTATCTGGCTGTCCAGCTTTCCAATTTCTTTTAATAAAACAGAAATTGAGTGTTATTTGCAAGTCCTGCAAAGTTTTCTTTACCCAAGAGTAGCAGAGAAATGTAAAAAACAAAACTGCAGCATGTCATTTGGCCTGGAATGAAAATGCACTGTTTAAAAAGCTGTTCTTTCTCTGACTGACTTCTTATTCAGAATAAAAAGCAGCTGTTTTGCAGAGTACTGTGTAATGGAGCATCTCCCTGCAGGCCTGTTATCTTTGCCACAATGAAATCAACTCACTGAGCTGCTTCATCACAATGCTGAGGGAGTAAATCCTTCTGGCAACACAGTTAGATGAGTAACTTTCCAGTGTTTACTAGAATGCTGACTTCTGGGCATGTGTGTAAATGTTTTTGTGTGAATATATATGCACTCGGAGGACACGAAACACACACATACACACACTCTCTCACTCTCAGTGAGAACCCAGAGGGATCCTTGCACATTTTGATACCTTGCCTGTGACAAGTCAGAGCGTCAGGCAGAGAAAATGAGGGACTGCTGATACACGTTTATGAGAATTTACAATCACCAGCCCTGGGTTATGGTAGTCTGGCTAAGTTGTAGAGAGTTGATTGCTTTAGAAAGAAATAGTAATTGAATCTTACTGAAAATGACTCCTACATTTCCCTGCCCTTTTTTGGGAGGGAAATTCTCAAAAACAAGTTTTCTTCAGGATGAGTTCACTTGGGGCTTAACTTGGATGCCAGAGCTCAAAACACCACTTTGCCAGTTTGCTATTCTTGATTCTATTTCTATGCAATAAATTAGATGTGCTTCTAGGACTCAGAACGTGAAAGCTGAATTTTCTCTAAGAAGCAGGTTTTTGCATAAAAGCTTGTGGTTACTGCCTGAAAAGATAAGCTTGCCTCGCGGGGAGGGTCTGAAAAAACATGTGCAGCAGAAGGCTCTTCCCATAAGTGACTCATTACCCTGTCAGCCACAGCGTGTCCTAGGGTCACCAGAGGATACAGTCCCTATTGCCCTATATTTTTTTTTTTTTTTTTTTAGGGGAGTGGGAGAGGGAGAAGCAGGCTTCCCGCTGAGCAGGGAGCCCGATGCGGGGCTCGATCCCAGGACCCCAGGATCATGACCTGAGTCGAAGGCAGACGCTCAACGACTGAGCCACCCAGGCGCCCCTGCCCTATATTTTTTGACAGGAGTATCAGTACGAGCAGAGGGCAGTGGGAAAGGACGGGTGAAATTCACAGTTAAAGGGTGAGGAGATGAGGTAGAATTGCCTCCCCCACTCTAAATATATGTTGGGATTTTTAAAAAATGAAAAGTGACCTCACTTAAATAAATCTAGTGACAAATAGATAATTTAGATGACACCATCAACTGAAGAGGGTGAAAATGGGATGATACTCAGGAGGGAGTGTTAGAAATACTCATTCACGCATTCACTCAACAGATATCCACAGAGCACCTACTATGTGCCAGGGAGGATGGCACATGATGGCAACACAGCAGTGTGGAGAGAAGATGGAATTCCAGCCCTCACGGAACTTAACATAACAAGCAAGAAACAAGTGCATTAAAAATCTCAGACTGCCCCGGTGACACCAGAGAGAAATGAGGTTGGAGGGGAAAACAGTTTACTTTCATGGCTGCCTTTCTGTGTGTATTTCCATCCACCTTATAGGACGCCTTCGGCAATGTCAACAATGCCTGAGTAGTTGGATACTGCTGATGTACGTTTGGTTAATTTCTGCCAGCATTGCGAGGGGGTTCGATTCCAATTTTGTTTACAGAATTTGAGATCTGTGCTTCCTGAATGTATAATCATGGGACATTTGATAGTCTTTATCTCAGTTTACTGGGAAGTTGTATAAATAGGACTTTGGATAGAAGACCTGCTTAGTATTTTTCCCTTGCATTTTCTTCCATTTAAGTAGAGAAATGGAATTTAGAGACTAGACCAAAAGATAACTGACTGATAAGAAAGGAGATAACCTTTATCACCATTATTTTTCCAAGCCATTGGAATTCTTTGCATGTGGTGATCAAGGTTTTCCTGTGGGACAAGAACTAGGATGCAGTCCTGTGGCTGCGAGTGAGTGACTGAGGGGACGCTGGCATGGGTGGGCGGAGGAGGAGCCTGAAGCCAGGCTGCAGGGGGCACTTCATCTTGCAGCCTAAGTACTCAGTCTCTTTGGAAAAGCCAAAATCACATGTGAGTGATTTGTAGCAAGTACCCTGAGTCTGCATGCTTGCAATACAACGGAACAGAACATATCAGATAAACAGAGTGTATATATTTTAGAGAAGAATTTCAGCTTAAATCATGCCTTAACCTCCTTTACAAGAAGGTTCTGGAAAGAAGATGGCTGAAGCCTGGGCCCCAAATCCCTGAATCCCATATTGTAATAGACGTATCACAGAAGTGGCTGGGTAGCAACACACATATGTACTTGGGCAGCATACTCAATCAGTACACGAGGGACCTGGGAAGCACTTGGACTCACTGCTCCAGTCAGCTGGAAACATACAAGCACATCAGCCAGTGGGTGTGAACCTCCCCACTGAGGATTTTGGTTTCTCCTAATGACAGCAGAGCATAAACTCTCAATCTTGGGAATCGCCCCTTCCAACCTCACGACTTAGTACTTTCTCATCAACCACAAGATTGACTGAGGCTTCATGGCCAAGCAACTTCTGCTGGTAAAAGCCTGGCCTCAAAACAGGAAAATCTTCGTTGTGAGAAGTGTTACTTTGCTGTAGAATTTTCTCCTGATACCGGGGTCTGTATAGATTTCTCGCTGGTGGCTGAAGCCAGCGCCACTCTGCTAGAAACATGAAGCATAGACCAGAGTGAGTTTTTAGTAAATTAGATGACTCTGAAGGTTCCCTTCTGGTGGCCATCATTCTGTGGCTCTCTAGTCTAAAAAATACAACATGTAATATTATACGGAGTGGTCTGCATGGACAGAGAGGCAAACCAGTGCAGAGATTGGAATGTTACTCATCACTTGACAGGATACTTCCACCAAATGATGTCCTGTGCAGGCGACCAAGAAGTGGACAAGAGGAACAGAGGAGCTTCAAGTGTGTTTTGGGAAACCCTCGGGAAGATGATCACATTTCTGCTGATCTAAGCTGGGCAACTGCAGGCAGGGTGGGCAGGAAAGGCCTCACAAGGCTGCCTTACAGTTGTGCTCTGAGCCGAGCTGGTGGGCAGAATCTACGTCCCACTTGGGACAGACTCCCCCCTCCTCCCGGGCAGCCTCCGTGAACAGGGATGACTCTGCCAAACATACTTGCATCTATTCCATCAGGAGCAGAAGGCTCAGCTGTGATGTGCTCCTGGTTTCACCAATCCTCTCTTTCATTTGTCTGTTTTCTATGTCATTGCTTTCAGGTCATTATTATTTCCTTCCTTCTACTTGTTTTGGGATTAATTTGCTCCTCTTCTACCCATACAAGGTGGAAGCTGAGATCGTGGATTTTCAACTTAAAAACTTTTTTTTCCCCCCAAACATAAGTACTTTAAAGGAGTCTAAACACTGTTTTAGCTGCATCCCACAAATTTTGATATGCTGTATTTTCCTTTTCTTTGAAACATTTGCAGATTTCCTTTCTGATTTCTTCTTTGATCCATGGGTTATTTAGATGTGTATCCTTTAATTTCCACATATTTGGCAATTTTGAAGATATCTTTTTGTTATTGATTTCTAATTTAATGTTGTTTTGGTCAAAGAACTATATATGCTATACTCTATATAATTTCAGTTCTTTTTAAATTCATTGAGACTTGTTTGATGGCCCAGCATATTATCTTGGTGAATGTACTGAATGTACTTGAAAAGAGTGTACTCATAGCAGTTGAGTGAAACAGTCCATAAACATCAATTAAGTCAAGTTAGTTGATAGTGTTTACCATATCCCTACTGATTTTGCTACTTGTTTTGTCAACTACTGTGAGGAGAATGTTGAGCTCTCCCTGAAGCCCTGCCTCTCTGCTGTGTCCACATCTTAGGGTTGGTATGTCTGTCTTTCTGATTGTGACATGGTCTTGGAAATCAGACTTTTTTTTTTTTTTTTTTTTAACACGAGTAGGAGAACAACATGTCTCATGCATATTGCTGCCCCTACACTCTAGAAAAGATCCTCTGGGCCAGCACAGAGGCTGGCTCACAGTGGACCCTCCAGGATAATTCAGTGAATGTGGACACAGGGCTGTGGGCTACTGGATCCCAATCTCCAGTCCAGAGTCTGATGCTGGCCAGGAAAGAAGTTTTCACAGATCTGTGGTGAAATGAGAAAAAATAAAGACAACTGTGTGTGTGTGCGAGTGTGCGTGAGGGCGGGTGTGTTAGAGGAGAAGGGTAAAAGGACAGCTGGGAGACTTGACTGATGCTTCTACAGCCTGGACCAGGCACAGGGAGGTGCCAGAAGCACAGAGGAGGAGGGTGAAGGTGAATCTGGGCAGAGGGAGGAGTCTTTGGGGAGACATACTGGTGAGAGACCCCTAAGAGCCTGCAGCCCAGACCCCATCCCCAGGCCATGGTGGAGAATGTCCTTCTTCTTCACAACCCTGATGTGGGATCTGAGTGAGATACTGTGTGTGGCATCTCAATCAGGACATGGTAAAACACCTCAGTGCTAGGGAGTATGATTCTGCAGTGACTGACTGGTGGGAAGACAGTTACGATTATGACCAGACAGTGATACGGATACCGGTACGAATGGCTGACCTTTCTTGAGCACTTCCCATGGGCCACACACTGTCCTAAACGCTTTATCTACATAATCCCATTCTGTTTTCACCACACTGACGTGGGCCCTGCTGTAAGACTTGTTGCTAGACGAGGACATGAGATCTCGCGTGCTTGAGTAGCTGGCAGCTACGAAGGCCACGGCCAAGCCTGGAACCCGGACCTCACTGCACTGGCTCCTTCTCTAGTTTGAGCAGTATTTATTATTCTGTGTCAAGTTAAATTAGCCTTTCGTCATTGAGGCCTCATAATACGTCTGCCTAATTTACTCTTGCCTTTAAAACTTGATCCTGCGTTCCTTTGGGTGGGCAACGAGAGGCACAGTGGTGCTGTGGTTAGGGTGCAGAAGCCGAGGCTGCTGTGGGGCTCCAGGGTGGCTGTGGCTGGGGACGGAGCTCCCGGGAAGGGGTCTGGTGAGCTTCTCTGGTCCCAGGCACTGACACGGGTGCTCTCCTCCCAAGTCACCCAGCTCTTGCTAGAGCCCAGGGAAGAGGAAAAAAGTGCCGCTTTGGGGCAGCTGGTGAAGACTGTAGCATTCCAGCTCAATCCCTCCTATATGGGCCAGTCCAGTTTCTTCTTGGAGGAAGGCTTCCAGCTGAGTTTCTTAGTGAGTCTACCCTAGAACTTTTTTGCACTTAGGGCTGTGAGGAAAGTGGAGGCTCGCCTACCCTCAACTGCCTTAAAAAAAAAAAAAAAAAAGATCCTGGCAATCTTGTCTAAGACAAGCTTTATCTTTGTCCTTTAGTAACTTCTGCCTTCCATCTCTACTGCCGACCCTCCCAACTGTTTTGAGTCTCCTGAGGAATATCTCTGCCATGCTGGGTGCTCTCCTCGGGCTGTCAGCCAACCCCCTGAGTGCCAGGGTATAGTAGAGCTTCCTCTCCCCACAGACAGGTGCAGAGGGAGCAGACAGGACATCTGTTGGCCCAGCAGGCAGATGGCCATTGGCCCTGGGGGCACCGTGAGGCTCAGCTTCGGAGCAGACCTAAAACCTGCCAATGTTCCATCTTGCTGTTTGGTCATTGTTTTGTAAAGAAATGGCCTTATTCTGGTTTCTGCCTATACCCTCTAATCTTGCTTGTCATGTGGAAGATCTGTCTACCTGTGCCCAGGCACACGCACACAGAAACATTTTTTTTTAAGATTTATTTATTTTTTACAGGTGCCTGCGTAGCTCAGTCAGTTAAGCGTCTGCCTTCAGCTCAGCTCATGGTCCCAGGGTCTACGGATGGAGCCCTGCGGCGGGCTCCCTGCTCAGCGAGGAGTCTGCTTCTCCCTCTCTCCCTACTCCCCATGCTTTCTCTCTCTCAAAGAAATTAAAAAAAAAAATTTTTTTTAGAGAGAGCGTGCACGAGTGTGTGTGGGGGGGTGGGCAGAGGGAGAAAGAGAATCTCAAGCAGACTCTCTGCTGAGTGCAGAGCCTGACTTGGGGCTTGATCTCACCACCCTGAGATCATGACCCGAGCTGAAATCTCAAGATTTGGATGCTTAACTGACCGAGCCAACCAGGTGCCCCCACAGAAACATTTTAAAAACTCTCACGGGCTTCTCCACCACCTCTGGCCCTTGCTTTCCCTCCTTGACTGCTACAGGCCCTGCTCAATACCCCCGACACTGTCTTAGCCCTGAAACCCCTCACTGTCTCCTCCCCGGGTGCCATGATCATGGCTGTCTCCATACCGTGACAGCCTCATGCCTGCTTGAGCCTCTGCAGGGTCTGCCTTTTCTTCTCCAGCAAAGGGAAGGCTGGTTATTCAGAGGTGAGTTTTCATAAATTCTGCTCCATGTGGTGCAGTTTGTTGCATATTTTCACATTCATTAGAGGCAAAGTAGGAGTTGGAAGAAGTGAAATTCAAATTGGTACAATTCAGCCCATCTTCTGACCCTGGGGTAGTATTAAGGAAGGAGTTGACAAGACAGCCCCAGGGGTTGAATGAGGGGCCCAGAAGTCTCCATGAGCCTGGGAGCCTGAGCAGGTATTGTAAAGGGTTTCCATTCTTTGTTGCTGCCTTTATAGAACTCAGGTCACACCAGACTTACAAGGACTTTTCAAACACTTAGGGGATGATGATATCCCCCCCACACCACACCTTTGTTCCTAGTGCACCTGTTATTAACTTGTAGTTCCTAATCACACCCTGGCCAGAAGCCTAGCTGGGGTCAGGGCCACTGAGGTGTTATCTTGAAGGGAGCTCCTGGCTCTCGAACAGGGGCGAGCTCTCATTGTGCCTGAAGTAGTCTTATCTTTCACAGCAGCGTTTAAAGAGAACACCTCACCTCAAGTACCATACTGTCAGATGTTATGAGTCTCTGATTTTTTTTTTCCATAGAAATGAAAAAAATTCACACCATGAAAAGAAAAAAAAAACCAACCCTAGTTTATAGCATATTGATTCTCAACCACACATGGAAATACACAACTAGTAGCAGAAACCTCAATGTGAGGGGTATCTAGGACACAGGGTGGTTAAAGAAGAGATTGCAAGGGGTCAGGCAAGGGGTGAAAAACAGAACAGCCTGGAAGGTTCTGAACACTCACTTATACTCTGGAGACGTCCCGTCCAGCCACTTCCATTCATTTTCATGCTGTGCATCTGTGAGGCCGATCCAGTGGCTATCTCTCCCTACCATTTGCTTCTTTATCCATTGCTGAAAGATAAATCCGTGACAGTGTGGTATTACTTGGGGGGGGGGGAACAGATATCTAGAGGAATTCCCCCTTCCCCTGAAACATATGGGGGGGAAAGAAAGGACATTTAAAAGAGAATGTGTGTTAGAGTATGTACATGCTTCTGCCCTTTTTTTTACTGCACCTGTTTTGTTTTGCAGTGTTTTGGGGCTTTGACACGTTTTCCTTCTATAAGTTTGTAAGTGATATTTAAGGGATGCTCTTCCTCTTCTAGGCCACCCAGACAAGTTAATGAATTCCACCAGGCTCCATCCCTTTCTGTCACCCGTCGCCCCAGTGTTCTGGTAATACTGACAGCCCGGGCATCATCGAGCTCTTCCTCTGGCCAGCTCCCATGTCCAACGTGCCACAAGCAACCTGTCTGTAAGCCTTCAGCAACTACGGTAGTTAAGTGGCTGAGCTGAGACTGGACCCAAGTCTACCGATTCTAAAGCCCGAGCACCTGCACCTGGCCATCCCTGGTCAGTTACTGCAGGAAACCTCTGTTTCCAGGGCTGCATCTGCTGAAGATACTTAGGGAAAAGGAAGGAGGTTTCTGGAACCGTGTGGCACCAAAGAGCACTAGCATTATTGCTAGAGGGACCTCCGTTTCAGTCTCAGCTCTGCATTTACTTGTCATCCTATGAATAAAGCCATGAAACCTTGTGGGGCCTCAGTTTTCTTATCTGTAAATGGGGGATAATAATACCCATGGGTTCTGGGGTTGCTGTGAGGGGTAAAGGAGAAAGAAGTGCCTCATACAGTGCCTGGCCCATAGGAGGGGCCTAGGGAGTGGTCACCAGTGTGATCATGTGTGAGCTCTGCCCCGTGGTCTTCTCCACTGCTGAGGCCACCCATCCCTGGCACCCACCCCTACAGTGCTCATGCCCCTTGGCTTCTCTCTCCACACGTGTTTGGTGCCAGCCAGCAGACTTCTCTTCCACATTACAGCTCTTTCGACAGCCACCGGGAGGAGCCACCCATCTCCAGGCTTAATAAAGCAGTATCTTCCAGCTGGAAGCAAGAGGACATAATTCCCGTGCCATGAATGCTTCTTGTCACTGGATAAGGCCCACATCTCCATAATGCGGCCTTCTGTGTTTATGTGACTTATGGATTTTTGATATCTTTGAATCCCCAGTTAAGCATGCAATTTCCAGATGTAAACGATCCTTAAATTATAGTTTTTCTCCAAGCATGCCGCAAACATACCTGTTCCTCTCTTGTGTTTATGAAAACGAGATGTGAAGACCTGTCTTCACAGAAGAGTTTCGCATCCTCAAAAGTTTCTTTCTCAACCGAAAAATAGTAGCATTTATCCATGAAGTTCTTCCAATGAGGTGGGCAGCCTAGGAATGCAAACGTTTAAAATATTAATTAAGAAAACGAACACACACACAAAGCACTACGCCTTTCTTCAGTTATGTTTACGAGGCCATGGCTTTGGCCTTGCTTCTCTCCAAGGCCAGGAGCAGTTCCTGCGTCCGTGTGTGAGCCCACAAGTGGCTGAGACAGCCACGCTGGGAGCAAAGACTAGTGGGGGGGGGCGGCGCGCGACAGGCTGCAGAGCACACAGTGGTTAAAACTACAGAGCCTGGAAAATTATTGACGCTGGGTCTTAGTTCCTCTGCATCTGGATTAGTCTTTACAATGACAGAAATAACAGGAACAACAACAAAAGGCTGAGCAGACACAGATGTGCCACATCAGTCTGGAGTCATATGGAACCTATCAATAAATAGATGGGAGAACCCAGAACCCAAACTGGGCTTGTGGAAAAATGAAGATGACGAGAGTTGTGTTTACGGAAATCGAGTGGAACTGGGTGTGATTCAAAGGAGAGAAAAAACAGGCTTGGTTGCTAACCAGACATTGAGGGTTTTGCCAAATTATCAAAATTTGGGAATCGAATTTCATAATTATAAAAAAGCCAGAAGCACCAGAACACCCTCTCAAAACTATGCAATCTGGGCTTTAGTAACAGAAAGTTCCATCTACACGGTTACTAAGGGTGTCTATCCCCAAGGTGAAGGGCATAAAATGAGAACAAGATTGGCTGGGGGCAGCCGGCCTCAGACCTGCATGAAGGAAATGTCTGGGGATGCATTTGTCCCCGAGAGCCTGACTCTGCTACATAAATGCGTGTGAGGGATGGTGCTGAGAGAGAAACACATGTGCCTGAGGGATGCCGCCTGGCTCAGAGGCCTGTGAGAGCATCAGGGGCCATGCGCCTGCCCACACGGTGCCTTCAAAGCCAAGTAAAGTGGGGTGTGGGGGCACATGGGGCTGTATGCTGCAGGTCAGCCACAAGTGCACATGGCGCCCCTGACCCTGGGTGTGAGGGAAGGCTCAGACTTACCATTGGCCTCGGGTGCGGAGGTTGGCTCGTTCTGCAGGGCTAGGGGCATCGCTGCCCCTGATGGGCCTGGGGGGCCGGGGGGGCCCTTTGGGCCTGGCATGCCTGGCACCCCAGGCAAGCCTGGCAGCCCCCGTGGTCCAGGCACCCCCGGCTCTCCCACGGTGCCCTGCAGTCCCTGGAAGCCAGGAGGGCCCTGAGGGCCAGGGAGTCCGTCCTTGCCTGGTGGGCCGGGGGGGCCTGGGTCCCCACTGGGGCCCTGAGGGCCAGGCTTCCCGGGGGATCCACGGGAGCCCTTGGGGCCCTGCAAGCCTTTGGAGCCTTTGCCGCCACGCTCTCCAGGGGGGCCAATGGGCCCAATTGGGCCCCTCTCACCGGCGGGGCCAGGTGGACCAGGCTCCCCCTTCTCTCCTTTCTGTCCTTTGTTGCCAGTGGGACCAGGGGGTCCCTGTTGTCCTCTGTCACCTTTTGGACCCCTGGGGCCAGGAGGACCTAAAATATAAAAAAATATAAATGGCATGAACATGAAATCCGTAGTGAGTGGTAGTGAAGAATTTATCTTCTTATAAACTCTCCAACTACAAAATCTAGACGTCCAAAATATATACATTAAGGAGTGCTGCCTGTTTCACCATACTATTGTTGAGGGTATTTTTTTTTTTTTTCTTTTTTAATGAGAGACAGAGAGCAAGAGAGGGAAGAGGGTCAGAGGGAGAGCAGACCCCCGCCAAGCAGGGAGCCTGATGCGGGACTCGATCCCGGGACTCCGGGATCATGACCCGAGCCGAAGGCAGTCGCTTAACCAACCAACTGAACCACCCAGGCGCCTGAGGGTATTTTTTTTTTTTAAAACAAAAGGTTTCTTTACTAAGCTCACCCTTTCCGCTCCAAGCATTTAGAATATATCTTAATGGCACGCAGCCCTCTGGTATCTCGATGGATGTTTTCAGGGGAGGGACATCTTCACACAGTGACTCACACCATTAACTTGGGCTCCCTTAGTCGTCTGGGACTGTTCTGTCACCAGCAGAAAAGCCGTGCAGGCTGGGATGGCGAATTCCCTCCTACTGGTTTCCTTTTCTTTTCATTAGTTTAACAAATATTTATTAACAACCTGTTATATGCCGAGCACTGTGCAAGGTGCTGGGGGAAAAAGGCCATCAAATGTTGAGAGGCACCTTCCTGCTCATTCCCTCACCACACCAAAGCCAGTCTCTTCTCTATCACATCACCCCCAGCCCTCCTGTCTCCTCCACCAACCGTGCTGTGGGGATGCAGCTGTCCTTGGGGCTGGGCCTCCCTCACCTGTGGACCAGCTCAGAGGGTCTTGGTTGGAAAGGGCTCGACGGGCTGGGCTGAGAAGAGTGTCCTCTTCCCCAGTTTGTTAGTCTAATAATGCAAACAGGGAAGGTGGGCTAGAGAAAAAGAACAGGTGACCATCGAACTGGGCAGGCGAGAAAAAAAGGACACCATTTTATTGCCAAAGGAAGAAGGCAAATATCTGTTCATCCCTTATCATCCTAGAGAAGCTCACATAACCTGGGGTTGTTTTTTTCTGTAAGTTCTCAGGGGCAAAAGGGAACTGCACGCAAACATACCACAACCAGGATTTGTAGAGTGAATGAGTTTTCGAGGTACTTTCACATACGTTATGTCACCTGACCTTCATCTATGACATTTTATTCCCAGAGCACATTTGAGGACATGTAGAGCCAGAGAGGCCAAGCTTCTTACTCAACACTAGCTCCTCAAGACAGATACACCCAGGAGGATGAAATGTGGACAGTCACAGTCTAGTAGTGGTGGAGCTCGGACAGGAATTCTGGTCTTCTTACATTGAAATGACTGTACCTAGGAGGACACTGTTCTCAAATACTCTACTCTCCAGAATTTCTGAGTTTCTGAAATCTCACTCTTCTACAGGAGTAAGTGTAAGAGATCCATACTCATTCTTTCCATAGAAGTGGAAAGCCTTTCAGGCTGGGTGGGCAGAAGTGCTAGGGAGATGAAGGGTAGGTGGGCCTCCCACCCTGTGTTTTTTTTGATCCCCTTGCCCCACTCCTCCCGCACCAGCTGGTCAGGACAGAACAGTGAAGTAGGTCTTCCTGCCTCAGTAGGGGGATCTCTCTGCCCCACTCTCCTTTCTAGGCCTTGATGGGTGTCCTCTGTACATTCACACTATCCATGGCCCCAGTGAGCCCACCCATCTCTGTTCTCTCTTAGTGAGAACCTCAGCTCTGGACTCAGCTTTCCTTATGTAAGGCTACCCATGATATCGCCCTTGGATTTATCTAAGGCAGACCTTCTACTGAGCTATAAGAGAGTTTATGCTAATGGTTAGGACTAGTTTCAACATGTCCCTTTCTAGGGTTATCTGCTCCATAAGTGAGAGACTTGAGAAGACTTTGCAATGAAGAATTTTCTCTCTGAACCCAACTCACTGACTTCTGCCCCCCAGCTCCTGTTGGCTCTTCTCTATCATCGGCTCTCCTGGTCCCTATGTCCATCTCATAGTCTGATAGTCCACTTTTTCTGGGTTGTCCTGCCAGCATCTGCAACCTGGCGTGTCTCAAACTGACCTTATCCTCACTTTATTGATATGCCCTTCACCACATCATCACAACCATCTCTTCCTTCCGTCACTCATCATGACCCAGTGTAGGGGTTAACTTCTTAACTGCTCTTCCTACCTTTGATTCCTCTCCATTCACCCCCTCTGCATCTTTCCTACATTTGTCTTCCTTACCCATAACTCTGATCTCTACCTGCGCTAGAATATTCAGCCCCCACTACTTGGTCATCTGGTATTAAATCAAGACTCTCATGACCTGGCCTAACATGTGTTTATTCCATCCTCTGCACTTCTGCATCTCTTCTCTTAGACTTTCCTCTGCCCGTATCCATCTGGAAAATTCCGGTCCACCTACCATGTAATTCTCCCAGGTGGAAGTTTTTCCTCTTTCTCTCATCTTTTAGTACTTGTTTGTTCTTTGAGGGCACTTTCCCAACTCGCAGCTAGCAGTGTCTGGTTACATAGTCATTACTCAGACAGTGTTTATCAAATCAATGTGTGTTGCAGATCCAAAGACCTAGAGCACTGATGCCAACATTTTAGGCCCCAGGAGAGACCAGAAGGGAGAGATTTCTGGGGAACAGTGGCCTGATTCTTATCCCTCACCTCATTCTAAGAAGTACAGCTCCACTCAATCTACGTTATCAGGATGACCCTGGCTATGGAATATGATCCTGGGGAGACTGGTCTTTCTCAACTCTACTCCCATTTAAGAATTGACCCAGTGGTCTCTGCATCTGCAATCTGAGGATTGGTTTTGTTTTTTTTTTTAAACCGAGGAGGCTCATTAAGTGTATTAGTAAAGATAGGGAAGGTAGATTTTCACTGCCAAATCTATCTTCTGTAAAAAAGTATCTTAGTTCATTTGTGTAGTTGAGAAACAGTGTCCTGGAGATTAACAGTGGGAAGGTAGCATATGCATTCCTCCATAATGGAGGTATCATTATGGAAGGTTCTAGTGGAACAATACTGACAACAGGCCAAAACAACCACAACAAATACAATAATAGCAAAAATAAAAGCAGCTTTTTTTCTCACCTATTTCTGTTTTATGTTCTACGTTTAGCCTTATGAAATCCACAAAATTAAGAAGGTCTGTTGGGAAATTCAAGTGCTTTAGAGATTCTTTGTCCTTATTCTCTTTATGGGTTTTCCAACAATCAGTGTTTCTCATTTGCTCACAACTGGGTTTGGTACTATACTTGCAGGTGATGGGAAAGGAGTTTACCTGCACCCATGGAATAGAGACTGTTCAGGGGTTTGTCTTCCTGATGTGACAGACCGATGTGATAGGGAGTTCTGTTTCTCCGAGAACACCTTCCTCTGGTTTCTGACAGAACTCCAAAGACACACTCTCTTCCTCTCCTGATATGAATCCAAGACCTCCCTTACCTAGGATGACAGCTTTTCATTAATCTTATTTCTTTCTGGGGCTGGGTAGTTGATGGTGTTCAGCTATTTCCCTCTGAACTGCTTCTCAAATGTCCCCACTCACTCCACACAAAAGTTGTGGCTTATTTTAAGAATGGCACCAAACATGGATTCCACAGTCAGTGCAAAATATCAGCAGATGCTAACTTCCAGATCTTGGGGAGGAAAGGAAAAGACGTCAAAAGAAGATAGACTTTTTGCCTTTGATAAAGGTTGAAAATCTTACTTGTGATGCATTTCCCAGCTGGATGAGCATAAAAACTGATTTTTTTTACACAAAGCATTACATTGACCACAAATAAGTTATCTGACTCTTAATAAGTTTGAATACTCATGACTGTGGATAAACTCCCAGCAAGCACAGCGTTACTGATTTCTTCATCCACAGCTGTCCCAGCCTTGGGAAAACCGTCACGGTGCTAGACCAGGAAGCTGGCCTTCCAATGCTGGGCTAAATAAAAATATACTCTGTGGGTCGCCACCCCTAGTGCCTTAAAACCAAAAGACTGAGATAAATAACACGAGAGTATTTATAAGCGTGTGTAGTAACAACTTGTCCTCCGAGCTGAGAATATGCTGATGCTACCACGTGGAGGCACGTGGGACGCCCGCTCAGAAGCAAATTTGAGAGTTGCTTTCAAGGCCAAGCGAGTGGCCCCCTCGCTCCAGATTCTGAAACGCCAGGATACCCACCACGGCACTGGTAAAGCCATCACAAGCTCCTGAAACATCTGACTGTGACGTAGACCAGGCCTGGGAGCAGCCCGGGTTTCACTGCCAGCAAAGCCTCCTCCCCGTGTTCCCCACCCTCCAGAGTGGGGAAACTTAAACACCTGAATCCTCCAAATAAGCAGTTTAAAGAGGACAGATGATTTTACATCACTGTGCTGTTTCTGCTTTGGACACCAGACTGCGGGCCTTGGGGAGGGCTCAGCCCTGTGTCCTACCCCTGAGATAAAGTTTCCAACTTGTTTGCCAACAAGACGGAAAGTAGAGAAACCACTTGAATTCTTACTGCCATCCAAAATTTTGGAGACTTGCTTTTAGAACCTCTAGTGGTAAGGATGGAAGACAGAGAAAACTAGTAATATAATCAGAGACCTTTTTGCTTCTCATTTAAAAATCTACTAAATTAATCAAACATTTGCCAAAATACCTACGTTATGAAAGAGTCCATTCTGTTTCACTGAGGTACTTTCAAAGCACTTGTTTCACTGAGGAAATTTAAAAGATATTATTTGGCAATCATTCTGAGAAATAATTTAATTCTTAACCTCATGTTTAAGACAGCCTTCTGGAATGCCACGGAGGCTCCTTCTCCACAAATACACCCTTGTCCACAGGGTATATTTAAACCACCATTTCTCACCAACTGGCCACAGTCTGCTTCTGTGCCTTCCAGTGGCCGCTCTGATGGGTCCTCAACAGGCGGTCTTGTTTGAGGAAGCGTGGCAAGAGTGGGTGGGGTGGGCACTGAGAGAAACTGAGG